TCCCTATTTCTTGCCAGCAGCTGTAGTAAAGTATCAGTATCACAGAATCCCAGACTGGTTTGTGTTGGAAGAGACCTTAAAGCTCATCCAGTCCCAACCCCTGCCACGAGCAGGTTGCTCCAAGCCCCCGTGTCCAACTTGGCCTTGAACACTACCAGGGATGGGGCAGCCACAGCTCCTCTGGGCACCCTGTGCCAGTGCCTCAGCACCCTCACAGGGAAGAGCTTCTGCCTCAGAGCTCATCTCAGTCTCCCCTCTGGCAGGTTAAAGCCATTCCCCTTGTCCTGTCCCTACAGGCCCTTGTCCAAAGCCCCTTTCTGTTAGGTCAATGAATGGGTCAAGGAGGGTTGTGGAGCTCACGGGTGGCAGTGCCACAACAGAGATCATGCTGCTAATGTGTTCTGCAGATGATTATAAATGAGTTGATAAAGAAGCTGGACATGGACTTGAGCGAAGATATTGCAACGCTCTCTCCAGAGGAATTACGACAGCGTGTGGATGCTGCCATAGCGCAGATTGTTAATCCAGCCAGGGTGAAGGAGCAGCTGGTGGAGCAGCTGAAGACACAGATAAGGGACCTCGAAATGTTCATCAACTTCATTCAGGGTCAGTGCTGAGTTTTAACATGAGCAGAGACTGAATTGCTTCTAATTCCCTGGGAAAGTCATGAAGGGGGGAGGTCATTGATGTCAGAGGATGCAGAAAGAGGTTTTGGGTCACAGGGAAGTACAAATGTCTGAACTGATGGTAGTGAGAACAAGACTGACAAAAAAGGTGCAGAGAGTTTTAAGGAATATTGTCCTTAATATTTGGGATCCACAGCTTAAATTTACAAGCGTGAAATAATAGTGTGAAATTCTCGTTCTAGATGAAGTCGGAAGCTCTGGTAAGGCAGAAGATGGACACTGTGAATGTGCAGGCAGGAAAGATGGTGGTGGCTCCCACAAACCAAATACACGGCCTTCTGGAAACAGAGGTGGGCACTGCGTGGCTCGGAGCTCCCAGCACGGCTCCTGCATCGCTCACGTGAGGTTCATGAGCATGAACCAGCAGCCAGTCGTGCTAAGCTGCTTTGCTGCTTTCCTGGCAGTTGGTGCTCATGCTTTCCTGCTCCCACTGACAGAAAGTCTGTGTCCAGTTCCATTCCCTTCCTCCACGGCTCCCTGGAACCATCAGAGAACCTGAACATGCGGCACAGAGGGTGGGATTGGTCCTCAGCGGAGATCAGGAATATAAGGGGCTTCTGGTAGTACAAAATGCAGACAAACAGAGCAGCCTTGTCTTGTACATGCTGTGGGTGGTGCTGTAATTAATGCTCTTTGAGCTCTTGGGTCTGTGAGTGGATACAGAGAGCTGGATGGATCCAGTGCTCTTCATAATTTGAGACTTGTCTACTTACACATGAATTTACCAGAGCCAGAATAATGTACTAGAGAAATCCTGCAGTACCTTTACCTCCTGTGATCTGAGGCATCTGCCACTTGTCAAAGACAGAACATGGGCTCAGATGGAATTTGGGTCTTACCCAGTGTGGCTACTCCTACAAATCGAATTTAATGGTGGCATTAGGAGTAAGCACTGCATCTTAGCCTGCTGAGGCGAGGCACTGCTTGAAAGTAGGCAGTGATCTCCCTCAGCAAACCTTTTGGTATCTCCTAATCATTCATGTGGTACAGTTGTGTCTACAGAGAGATCTTTGCTCACTCTGTATGTGCTCACTGGGAAACCTGTTGTAGGATTTCCTCTCTGTAAGATGACCTCGTTGTTGGGAACAAGCTGTGCCAATGTTTGCTTTTCTGGTGGGCTTCAGTGCTTGGAAACTAGAAAGAGTAGCATCAGTCCTAGTGTCAAAGGCCCCTGAGGAGGAGAATCTGTGGCGGAGGAGGAGGAGACATTTGCATTCCCTCTGTGTGTCTGAAAGAGCAGAGCTGTTGATTCCTTAATGATGAAGTTTATTTTTCTCTTTCATAACCTGGTCAGTGAACCCAGAAGATGCCAGAAAGATGAGAGAAACAGGCCTGCACCTCATGCGTCGCATGCTTGCTGTGCTGCAGATATTTGCTGTCAGTCAGTTTGGTTGTGCTACGGGTCAGATTCCTCGCACCCTCTGGCAGAAGGACCAAGACAACAAGGACTATTCCCCCTTAATCAAGAAATTGGAGCTGTCGGTAGAGCGGGTGAGGCAGCTGGCTATGAAGTACCAGCAGGAGGACCACGTTATCAGTTCCTCCGACCTGCAGGACGTTCCCTTAGGAGGCAGGGACGAGCTGACTCTGGCTGTGCGGAAGGAGCTGACCATCGCTTTGCGAGACCTGATGGCTCATGGGCTCTACGCCTCTTCCCAAGGAATGAGCCTGGTATTGGCACCCATCGCGTGCCTGATTCCTGCGTTCTCCTCCTCGCCGCAGACCATGCACCCCTGGGAGCTCTTTGTGAAGTATTACAACGCTAAGAACGGACAAGCCTTCGTGGAATCCCCAGCTCGCAAACTCTCCCAGTCCTTTGCCTTGCCTGTGACAGGAGGAATGGCTGTGACACCCAAACAGAGCCTGCTGACCGCGATCCACACTGTCCTCACGGAGCATGACCCCTTCAAGCGCAGCGCAGACTCGGAGCTGAAGGCGCTGGTGTGTATGGCACTGAACGAGCAGCGCCTGGTCTCCTGGGTAAATCTGATCTGCAAATCTGGAGCTCTGGTACAGGCCCACTACCAGCCATGGAGCTACATGGCAAGCACAGGCTTTGAGAGCGCGCTCAACGTTCTCAGTCGCCTGAGCAACTTGAAATTCAACCTCCCAGTTGACCTGGCTGTGCGGCAGCTGAAAAACATCAAAGACGCTTTTTGATGTGTTTTTATTGTAGATCATCCCTTTTCCACAAGCAGGGCAGCTGCTGGGCTCAGAGCCTGGCTTTTTTAAGACCAAGTTTGTCTCTGACATTGATACCTGCTCTTAGGGAAATCTTACGGTGTCTGGATGCTGGAAATCTGTGTGTTTACAAGACTGCCACTGCAAAGCTGCTGTACAGCACCTCACCCTGCCCCTTATGCAGCCCTGAAGAGCAAACCCGCTTTGCTGGTGCGTGTTCGTGTGTGGGGCTGGCAGCGGCCACGGAGCCCTGTGCAGCTGCAGCTTTGCCCCTGTGCCGCCTCAGCTCTAACTGCTGCCCCCGTACGCCTCCTCCCGCAGCCCGGGGCAGGCTGGGCCATGCTGGGGGGTGTTTCGCTGCCTCGGGGGCTGCCCTCCCCGCTGTGAACGTGGGATAAAACCGGGGCAGAGCTGCGGGGGGCGCTGCGGCTCCTCCGCTTGCTCTGCTCAGCAGGCCCCGAGCTCCTTCTC